ATCCTACTTTTACCCTTCACATCAAGGGTATTTTTGGAAAGTCAACACAAAACTATCTCTCCCTTAATTTCAACTTTAGTCAAAATGAGTAACACTTTATGAGACGGAGGGAGTAAGAGATACGACGAAATGAAACCACATCAGCAACTCGAACTCGGAAGACACTCATGGAGAAACAAACACACAAAACAATCACACAATAAACTTTATAAAAACATAGACAATAATAATTAACTTAAACCATTTTGAAAATACTTATAGTTTAAATAGAAAATAAACTGAACAAATCCGATTAATCAATTAATTATGTCTTAATCCTAAACTAAACTGCTAATTAAACTCAGGGTTAAGCTGAAGAAGAGATCCACCTGCGGTTCTTCCCTATTCTTCCTAATATAGCCTAAGTTAAGACCTGCCCTAACTCTAGACCCTACTATTCTTAACAACCCAAGGACCTTTCCCCAGATTTAATTAAAAATAGAGCATTAAGTTCTTTGGAAAACATCACTTAACAACTATGCAGTAGACTATATCTATTTAACATAGCCAGTTTGAAAGCTCTGATTAATAAAAACCGGGTGGGAGCCAATTAAGTATTAACCAGGTGACACTTGTGTTTTGAAAATCTCAGCTATAAACGTACTACAGATCTTAAAACTGTCATTTGGAATTAGAGTTTAGGCGGCCGTCTTAAATTGATCTAATCCAAGTTTACAAAGATCTGTTTTCAAACACCTTTTCGAGTTTAGATTTGACAATAGCACAAAAACAATCAACAAACATGGAATTGAAAATAAACATATTTAATACGGACAAACAAATTCATAAATTGAGAAACTTATAAATTGGAAAGTCTTAATTAAAGAATGAAATTAAAAAGGAGAAAATTGCTCCCCTGAGTTTCTGTGTTCGTCCGAACAGTGCACAGAAGCTAGGAGTCGGGGGAGTTCCCAATCACCGAAGCATCGATCTCGCCTTGCCTTCGCCGTCCAGACCTCCCGTCGTCGTCACCGCTGTGCATTTGCCGTCGCCGGACCTAGGGTCGGAACCCTAGGTCGGCACCTGCTCTGCTCCGATCTGTTCTCTCGTCTCTATCCGTCTCCCCTCTTCATGGTCGATATTTTGCCTCTTTTATACATGAGTCCTCCAAGCTTTAGTCTTCAATTTGGATTGGGAATGGGAATTGAAGTTTGATTTGAGGAAGGAAGCCTCCTCCGTTTCTTGCGCTATGCGGTCTTCTACGGTTCCCATCTACAGAGTCTCTCTTTTTTTTTATTTCCTTTTATCATTTATTGGACTTTTACTTCTTCTAATGGATTGAGACTTTGACAAATGCAAATGGGATCAAAACCAATCTTGGGCCCAAACTCTCTTCATTTCTTCAATTGTGGTGTCAAAGCTCTAAGACTCCAGCATTGTTATTTCCTCTACGTTGAGCTCCAAATTATATCTTAAACACTGTGTCAAGGAAAATGATGCTCCAAAAACAATAAAATATAAATATACTTAAAATCATGCATTTTGTATATAAAATGTAAACAATAGCCTAAAATGCTAAATATACCAAAATGTGTTTATTTAAGTATAAAATGCATATAAAACATCTTAAAAGTACTAAGAAATGAAGGAATAAAATATGACATTTTGTGACTCAACATTTATTCATTAGACTATTTTGATATTTTGTCAGAAATAAGATCGTCATCATTACACTATTTTGATATTTCATCAGAAATAAGATCGTCATCATTATGTGATCATTATCACACAGGGCATCCTTTTAATCATCATAATTAATATTTAATAAAAATTATTATCAATGACATTGCATTATGGATTATTCATCGAATCATGGTTCATTATTATAATTATTATTTAATCAGAATATTCATCAAGGTGTGATCATAATCAATATTCAATAATAGTCAACATAATATTCACTAACAAATAGTGTCGAGTGTTAACACCCTAGTTTACCGTCATGCATCAAACACGGTTCTTGAATTTGTTAAAACATCATACTCCCTCTATCCATCATAGATCTTCCCAGACATTATTCACAGGGTCAAACTTCACTCACTTTGTTTGCTTATTTTTACTAGTTATTTCGTAAATTAATATAGTCTTGTCACCTCTAGTTTTGTAGAACTTTTAATATAGTTTATTACTACATAAATTTTATTTTAAAATTTTACTACTATAATCAATTAAATTGAATTGAAAATAAAGTCGGTCAAGCCTCGTAAAGCGTAATGGGAATATCTTAGATGAACGGAGGAAGTATTTATTTGCTAAAATCATTTTCATATTGATCATAATTGATTGGTATAAAAATAGGGTTTAATAGTTCAAAAATCAAGTTTATGGGAAAATTTTTGGGTTTTGGACGGTACTTGTTACGGTACCTCGGTACCGGTCCACAGTATATCGATACTGTCTGTAGCCCGCCACTGCCAAAGGAGCATCAGCCAACGATAGAAGTGTTGGAGTTATGCCCTGATGGCCAACTGTTTATCATTGCTCTATTATGTATAGGCAGATATAATATGTTTACACATCTCATGATAATGTAAACAAATATTAATTATATTCCTAAATTTATATTTAAAGATGTTTATCAGATAGTGTTATTCTACTGATGAGACTAACATCTTGAAATAAATATTTATCTAAATGTCCATAGTCGAGTATTAACGAGAGTAGGATATCGTTAATGCATGTGAGACTAGTGTGTGTTGGATGTTTGACATAGTACTCTCATAGTCAATGACGGTGTGTTCGCATCCGCACATGGGCAGATATTATCTAGAGATAATAAGATGCTGGACTGACCCATCCTAAAGATGTTGCTTGAACTTTTAGTTCATGCTCCAAGCATCTTTAGCGCGACCACGGGTGTAACTATCCTTCAACTTGAAGTATTACATTTTCTGCATATGTGAACCTGCATGCTTTGATGCATTGTCATAAGCCATATGAAAAAAGGATGGTATACAGACTTTGTTTTGGGTATGCCGCAGCACGTATTCAGAAACGTAGATACGTACATAGGATTTGGTACTACTCTTTTTAAAGTGATTAATGTCTTATGGGGCCCACTGATAAGTTATGACTAAGGAAATTGCATGGCCATGCTGAGATGCATTTTTGACGTCTGTTCCTATTAGTCAGACTTGATAAATCAGTGAATGACTTAATGGATACAAGTTATATTTTGTTAATCCCTTGCATTAAGTTTAGACATTGAGACAAAAGGATACATTTACACGGAGTCTGAGTCGTGGAAAGGTTTTGACGATACAAACGTCTTAACTTATAATCTAGGGGCAATAATGTGTTGCTAGATACCGCTTATTGTTTATAGCATTGGTGCAGAGGCAATACTATGGCCAGCTTTATAAGTGCCTATACGGGTCACACACTTTGGATAATTTAAGGAGTAGGATTAAACAATGGGATAATAAGTAATTTGTATATTTGTAAAATAGTAAAATAAAATATTTTGGAGTATAAATTATATATATGGTTTATATATATATATTTAATATATATATATACGATAACACCGAAATATATATATAAATATATTATATGTTGAATATTTTATTTTGGTTTGTCATTTTAATTATGAAAATAATTATTTTGACATAAACTAATTGAAGTATATTTTATACTTTTTTAAAATGATATTGGTATTTTAATTTGATTTAAAATTAATTTAATATTGATTTTTGGTATCAAATAAAATATACTTTAAACAGTTAAGTGGAGAAGAATTTTGTAAATCCTTCTCATATCTCTCATTCGGCCAAATGGGATTTAAAACATCAAATTTTTCTTTGATTGATAATTTAGTGGGCTAATTAATTTGTCATTTAGTTAATGAAAAAAACTTGATTTCTAATTTTGTTTTAATAAGTACCTTCCCCACGCCACTTTGATATCCATCTTTTGAAAATTTAGCCATTGCATTTTTAGAGAGAGAAACACTTATTTTGTGTTCCATTAATATCATTTTGTGTATACAAAATATCTATAATATTTTCTAAATATTATTAGAAATATTTTCTATAGAAATATACAAGATTATTATTATCCCAAATTTTAATCTTTATATTTTATACTACTATAATCTTTACTAGCTACCATAAAGATTGTGGTAGACTCCGGCGTTGTTCGTGTGTCAAAGTTGGACACCGGACGCTTGAACGATTACGTGTGCACTTTCAACGCTCTTCCTACGACTTCTTCGTTTTTACCACTTACGAAGAAAGGTATAAATTTCTTATCACTATAAGTTTTAGTACGTGATTCTGGGGAAGATAATCATGTTAGGATGTTAAAAATTTTATATTCCGCTGTCTATCCTTGCATGGTTAGCTTTCAAGAAGGTCTACCGTTGTCACAGTATAGCCTACCGTGTCGTTGGTACCTAGGTACCGTCCGGTCAGTAACATGATACCGTTCTGAGCGCACGTTGTTTAAACAATGTCATCTTCAACCTCGGGCAAATTTTTTGGAAAATTCGTTTTTAATCATGATAAGTTCAATATTTGTGTATATTTTATTATCTTTTGATAGACTTATTGATTTGGATTTTGATACTATTAGGCTTAATTGTGTATTATTTACTCCCTCCGTCTATGTATGATCTTCCCATTACGCGTTACGAGGCTTGACCGACTTTATTTTCAATTCAATTTAATTGATTATAGGGGTAGAATTTTAAAATAAAATTTATATAGTAATAAATTACATGAAAAGTTCTACAAAACTAGAGGTGACAAGACTATATTATTTTATGAAATGACTAGTAAAATTGAGCAAACAAAGAGAATAAAGTTTGACCATGTGAATAGTGTCTGAGAAGATTTATGATGGAAGAGGGAGTATTAAATAGATAAATTTGGAGTGATCTGTGGTTATGGATTGATTTTAAGGTCCAATTACAAAGAAAAGGATTGAATTGCAAGCAAGGATAACATTGTGGGGCCAATTTAGAATTTCTAGAAGTTTTATTTCCCCAAATCAAGTTATGCTAATCAGACAGAGACACGGAGGAACGCGACCCGGAGCTAATCGCGACCAGACCCAGCCGCAATCCAGCATCCTCCAGCGGCGACGATGAGTTTCCGACGGCGAAGAGCAGAGGTGACGACGGCGACCTCCGGCGAGCCTCCAGGCCCGGCGACGGGCAGCAGCTTCCAGCAGCGACGAGCTCCACTCCAGCGACGATTCGCGAGCGACGAACGGCGACCCGCCTCCCCCATTTTCGGCGATGCTGAGCTACGTCGCCAAATTCCAGCGAAGAAGCCACGATCGAGCATCAAATTCAATTTGGGCATAAAGTTCCAATTTTACCCCTGGTCCATTCTTTACTTAATTTCAGAATTAAGTCCTTATGTGTCATTTTTTTCCTGATTTCTCCTACTCTATATCTACTATATACGGAGTATATAAAAGCCCATGAGAAATTTTTGCCAATTTCATTCATGATTTTCCCGCCATAATTATGCATCCAATGGATGAGAATAGTTTGCTACACGTGGCATCATCTAATGAGATCTCTATCTATAAAGACATACAATCAGTTCTGGACAAAAGAGAGTTATCCCCACATCAAGAATTCCAGTACATGCAATCTCCAAAGAGCCAGTCCAAGCCAAGTAGTTCACTGAGAAATGACAAAAGAACTGCCAGTTCAATGCATACCGATTGTAATATAAATGATACACATCACAAATTCACAATGCATACCGAAAATTTATTTAGGCTCTGAATTTTTTCCATTGATACACATGGATATGTGATTGCCATGGCTGCAAACCCATTGTAATCTAAATGTTGCCTTCCCAAGATACAAATCACAAATTCAACATATTTAAAATCCGTTTAAAAATTCCAAAAAAAAAGAACAATCGTTGAGGCTCGGAATTATTTTCCATTGCTAAGCTAAACGATATGATTGTCATGGCTGCAATGATGATCTCAAAGTTCGAGGTTGCCTCGCCAAGATACGAATCATTTCGTTAATTCTTCGTTATTAGCATTGGTAAATACGCATTGATGTCGTCACAGCCTCATTAGAGATACATCATACTCTACTTTATATATAAAAGCCCATAAGAAATTTTTTCCAATTTCATTCCTGTTTTTTCTGCCATAATTATGCATCCAATGGATGAGAATAGTTTGCTACACGTGGCATCAGCTTATGGATGAAAAGGAGTAAAAAAAGGTGTGGAAAGTATGCATTGAATGGTGATATACTTCTGAAATGGGCATTATCCTGCCAAAAACAATTATAGCACCATATATAAATATGATTAAAACCAATTCAAATCCCAATTGAAGTTGAAAAGGAGTAAAAAAGGGTGTTGAAAGTAGACGACCTCATGCTGGTCTAATCCTGAAATGGGCATTATCCTGAGTTTCAAAGACTTTCAAAGCTACTAAAAATAGTATATTTTCACTCCAAGATACGTATTAATTTCCTTCCTTTCAGTAAACAATATATGAGAAAACATATAAAACCAATCATCAAAGCCTCTTAATTATTCAAATTATCCCAACTTCAAACAAAGTATGGCAGTCCTGCAAAAATATGATGAAATCACTTAATTACGTACAAGCATGGGACATAGTCCCTAGAGCACATGACATTTATTCATTACAAGTGGTAGAGACCAAAACAGTCACTTCCTGTTTGGAAACTCCCAGTGTATTAACAGTTAGTTCATTCCAGTTATATATACACTTCCACTCCTACACACTACTCACCCATAAACCTTATTTACTTAGCCTAAATCCCTGAAACTTCCCTCAACACTAGCCCTATACTTTTCAAAAAAATGGTTTTTCATTTATAAAGCATATACTCCGTATCTTTCTTTCTTATATCCCAAAATGATAAAGTTTATTTATATTTAGGCAATCAAATGAATAGCTCATTGTCCAGTGGTAAAGACAGAGGGAAAAGAAAGAGGCTCCATACAAACACAGGTAAACACACTTTATTTCAAATACTTTCTGTTATTTTAATAAATGTATTTAGTAAACACAGTTCATTTGGTATAGCATGAGATATTTCTGGGAAACATGAAATTGCAACTGTTACTTGATATTCTTAGTTTAGATAATATTATCTAAATTGATGAAAAACAGTAATTTATAATTATACTTACTTGCATCTCAAGCTGTTTCTTTAAAAAATATCAAGCCTGAAATAACAAGTATAACAATTCAGTTCTTTAAATATTCTATGATTTTGTTATATGCACATTAAACTTAAAATGAAATATATGAACTATATATGAAATAACTTACATAATTTACTAGCTTCATTTAAACAAACTCCTCCTGTAAGAAATAAAATCATTGGTAATAATTCAAAAGCAGTAGAGTATATAGAGTAATAATTCAAAAATTAGAGCATATGTAGGACTCTTCAGTTTCTGATTGGTATTTTTCTGATTTATAATGAATTGATATATTTTAAAGCAGAAGAGTATATAAAAATAAAAGTGTCATGCACAGGAATATATTATATCTATAATTAAAGAATTCAACATAAGAACATTGCTTTGTTTATTTATAAATTAAATGCAGTAGACTATTTAGATATAAAGGAGTACAGTATATAGAACTAAAAAAAATCAGGAAAACAGATTTTTTTGGGAGACATATATTGCTGTTATAAAGATTCATGAAATTTACTACCAATATTAAAAAACAGAAAATATATCCCAGAATCTATAATACAATAATATTAGAAAACAGAAAATTGTTACAAAAAAAGTAACATCTAAAATAACATCAGTTTATAAAGTCTATCATCGGAGACCTCTTTTACAAATGAAAAAAAGAATCATGTCTTCTTGTACGAAGAAAAATTTAATTATGCCTGGATCTGAAAACAAATAAATCATGATTTGAATTGAAGAAAAGAACATCCTCTCACACAGATCCACTAAAAAACATAGAAGAAATGTATGAACCTCAGAGAGGTCCAAAATTCATCAAGAAAAAATGATACTGGAAAGTATGCATGGCATATTTATATCTCAAAATAAAAACGATTATATGTTTCGAAAAATGGGATATCAGATCTGTGTATGAATAACCCAAACAATTTACGAAAAAAAACAAATAAAATTGCAAAAGAACCAGCAAGAAAAACATACAAAAAGAACGATCCAAAATATAGGACATCGGGACATAATCCTTCAATTTCTTAAGCAGAAAGGATTTAATTTAGTGCAAGAAGATAAACATATGAGAGATAAAGAGAAGGATATGGAACTAATGGACAGGAAGCAGTGGCGAAATGGAGTTGGGAGAAGGAATATACGGAGTAGGAAGTACTCCGTATAAGACGCTATTCGGGTAGATTTTGGACTGGGCCGGGTGAAGTGAAATAATACATGGGCTTAGATGCTTTTTAGATTGGATTAAATTGGGCAATAATCCATATTCCTTTTTAAACATTCAAATGGTTACGAGAAATTTAAATTTGTTTTAAAGTTAATCATTACATCCTTTTATAAATTTGTATTTTTTAGAAAATTAATTTTTTTTACTAAATAATAATATTATTATTTAGTAGAGATGTACAAAATACGATGCACTTGTCTTTTTTATATATATATTTTTATATTTGATTGTTTTAACTTAATAATATTATTCAAACAGGTAGCGATGTTCATGATACCACACAATTGTGTTCTTCCCAGATTCACAATCCGTCAAATTTATCACTAACACAAAGATCTTGGATTCAAAATAATCCCTTGAGTGACGTAACAAACGGTTAGTTCATTACTACATTCTATCTTTTATAAGTATGAATATTATTTAAGTATCTAACTTCGTTTATTTCAAAAATGCAGTCCCAAAATAAAAAAGGGATTGTTTGTTCTGGGATGATGCGCCTATGATGCATAAACATTGTTTTGAAGCATTGGATAGAACTATGCGGGATATAATGTGCATGGCTAAAAATAATAGCCACGTCAAACCATTTAGATGCAAAACAATTGTTTATTCTTGAAAAAACCAGTTAGGGACAATCTCTCTCTCATGTTGGTTTATTCTTGAAAAAACCTATTTTTAGCCGTGGACAACTGTGTGTGACTATGTCTATGGTACGGTCTCACGAGGGATTAAAAATATTGATATGTAACTCTGATAATACTCTATGTAATACTACAATTACTGTAGTTTATAAGAAGATTTTGAGAACGTATGATTGATGTGTAATATACGTTGTTTACTTTACTTCATTATAATAGTAGTTATTGAATATATTATACTTTTAAAAAACATCGTTATGTTAGTAGTTTATTTAGAATTAAATAAACTTTATGATTTGTGATTAACTTTATCTTCCCGTGCATCGCACGGGTGATGTACTAGTATATATATACTCCCCTAGATCCATTTTGTTAAAGGAGCTCCCCCATTTGTAGACTAGGGTTTATTTTCCTTCATCTTCATCATCATAATATTGTATTTTTAGTTTGGGAGCTCCATTACTTCAATTCCATCTCTTTAGATTATTCTACTCATTTTTGCATATACTTTACTTCATCTCTTTCAGGCTTTATTTATTTACTACTCTCTTGTCTTTATGCATCTCTTTAGATTTAACATGTTAGGCTATATATTCTAGCCTAGAATAGGGATGAATTGTTGATTTGTGCTTGTTGATGATGGATTAGTGTGAAATATGAGATATTGCTCTAGGTTGTTTGTAGAGATTGATCTTATTGTTGCTAAGATGTTGTTGTTGGCCACAATGGCATTCTTGTATTCCGGAGCGAGTGCTTAATCGCCAAGGAATCAGGATTTAGACTTCTAGCCGTGTGTCTCTACTCTCAAGTCCCACCACGGAAGTGGAGGATACTTGAAGAGCTTGTTTGATGTGTTTGTAGTTCTCTTGAGACCAGCGCCACGAAAGTGGGTTCTTCTCTAGACGATGCTTTCTCAATTCTCAAGAAAGTGAAATGGAGGTGATTGGCTCGCTTCCTTGTTGATTTCACATCTTCATCTATTCTGTTGGCATTTGCATGATTGACATGAAATCTCTAGCCTAGATTTGTTTTTCATTTACTTCTTGCATTTCATTGCATTAGTTTAGTTCCATTCACTTGCATCATTCATCCTCTCTATACTAGGTCTTGATTCACAATATACAATTTGATATTAGTGTTTATTGCACTCTGCACTCGATTCCTAACCAATCACGCTATTCCCGTGGACTTGACATCCCTTACTTCCACCATTATACTCATTCCATTTACAATTTTCACATTTCCATTTCATTCACACTTCACCTCATCTCTTTTTGATTAAGGGTTTCGATATCAAACGACGTATCGAAAAATCTCTCGCATCAAATCACCAAACTTCATTTAAACTATATAGACATGTTCTTCAAAGTTCATAAATCGTTTTAGCATCATTAGTTCGTATTTTAACAACAGTTTCAAGGTGTATGATTCTTGGTTCTTCAAACATGTCAAACACAAAACTCAGTCAAATGGTTATTTATGAACTTAGAAACGATCTATACGAACATTCTAGTCATTAAATATATCTAAGAGCTTACCTTGAGCTTAAATGGAGGTTTTGGAAATTTTCCAGCGAAGATTGTGGCTTACTCCGGCCACCTCTCACCAAATTGACAGCACCACCATACTCTTCACACTCCAAGGAATAGAATAGAAAAAATAATTGAAGGAATTGGTAAAAAATGGGAAGGAATGTGTTTCCTTTAATAGGGAGAGCTTGGAGAAGGTGACAACCATTGCTGCGTCATACTTCATTCACAATCGGCATAGTGGAGGAGGAGGCGCCGTTTGTACACGCATTCCCTGATTGGGACTAATTTGGTCCCAATCAGGGTACATTTTTTGTCTAACTTTTTCTGAATAGAAATCTGTTTGCATTGTTGCAATCAGATCGTCAAACTCTATCTAATTATATAATATTTATACTCCCTCCGTCCTATATCTTTCTTCCCGTTGCGCAAAACGAAGAAATTATTCCAAGTTTTTTCAATCTATTTTATTTAAATATTGGTATAGAAATAAAAAATAAAACATACATATTTAAAAATTACATCAAAAGTTTAACAAAACAAGTGGTGACAAGAATATTTTATTTTATCATATAGGCCATGAAAAAACACAAACAAATATAAATTCCCGTGAAGTTGGAATAGTGCTCTGGGAAGAAAGTTTTAGGGCGGAGGGAGTATTTATTTGTAATACTTTTTGCGACAGCATATTTTTGGTTGTTTGACTTTGACAGAGTCAAAATTGATTTATTTGACCTTTATTCAAAAAGGTTTTCACATTTAATCCACATCATTTATTCTCATGATTGATTTCAATAAATCATCTCAAAACTTCACATCATAAATCAAATTTTTTATGTATTTTTAATTTGGGTCTGTATTCTGGTATCCAATTAAGATCCCACATATATTCAACATATTGGATTTATCTCTATGAGATTTATCTAGATTATGATATTGAATATCAAAACATATTTTGTTTTGGCTCAAAGCCCAATAATAAATTAGTTTAATCAAAATAAATTTATTTAATTGAACAAGAATTTAATAATAATTTTAGGGTGCATTTTGGAGCCTTACAATTAGTTTCTTTCATAAATATTTGTGGTTACTTCGTACGCCATGCCGATTAACAAGAGTTAGAGGTAACCACTGAAACATGTTAGATTATTGTTACAGAAACCGGTATTTAGTTATGGACAACTTATGTTCGTTGCAGTTTTAAAAGTAACAAATCGTAGTAGGTTAAAGATTCTGATATGCAACGAAGACAATGTTCCCACAAATTGTACGAACAATGTTGCTTATAAAGAAGTATTTTCGAAATTTATAAAGCAAAAATGTTTTGAACCTTAAAATAATATAATGTCTATATTGTTCTCCCTCTGTCCACCAAAGATGTTCTAATTGCGCGTTGCGAGATTTGACCGACTTTATTTTCAATTCAATTTATTTGATTGTAAGAATAAAATTTAAAAATAAATTTTATATAGTAAAAAAGTACATAAAAAGTTCTACAAAACTAGATGTGATAATACTATTTTATTTTTTTGAAATAAGTAGTTAAAATAAGCAAACAAAGTGAGTTAAATTTGACTTTGTGAATGGTGTCTGGAAAGATCTATAGTGGACATAAGGAGTATTAGATATCATTTTCTAGGATTGAAAAATGATCTTAATTTAATAACGAAAATATAACTTGTGCAACACACAGATGTGATACTAGTTGTTGATCATTCAAGTATCATCCTTAATTTTTCACTTTTTTGTCTATTTCATTATCCGCATGTTTCAGATGTCTCACTAAGAATGATATTGCCTTCCCTACAAGCAAGAAATTCCAAGTGTTGCATCTATTGTGTAACGGAGCAAAGTACGATACATGATTTTATAACATTTAAATTAAAACAAAAAGTTAAAGGTCGGGCTTGTAGTGTGTGGGAAATGGGGAATAGTAGAAGGGCTCAAGAGTCGGGAGGAAGATGAATTTGTCAAAATCTGTTATTAAAAAATCGTGAATCGTGATGTGTAGTTTTGTAGGGGCAGCCCCATTTCAGGCAATCTACCGATACCTTCCACCCTTGTTCTCAATCCCTACTATTAGTGGCTGGGATTGATTCAGCTCAAGAGGGGAACCTTGAGTGGATGAAGGAAAGGCATGATATGTTGATAATCTTGGAGGATCATCAATTTTGCAAAAACATACTAAGATGAAGTATTATGCAGATAAAAACCACCTGGTTGAATTACGATAAGGCCAAAAATGCTCATCGATACTTGACGTCCATTATTTATAATATGCAGGTAGGCAACAAGAATGTCTTATTCGAAAAAACATTTTTACGTACAAACTCCACTATTCTACGTTAATGTTCTTAAACTGGCGGTGAGCGCGAGGCGCGGCAGATCATATGATCCAAAGTCAGCAGGGATAAGGAATTGAAATCCTTGTATCATAAGATCTCAATTGAACCAAGGATTCTCTGCTTTCAGCACATTGATTGCTTCTTCAATATTTGCTACCAAAGTGTCTGGCAAGTTCATAACTTTCTGCATCATGAGTTTCTTCTTCCCTTCCGATATCAGTGCATTTATCTCTGCAGCATGCCCGCTCTGTCACGAAACAAAACAATGTGTATTATTCATGCAAAGCGAATAGAAGAAATCAGAGAAGGTAGTATAATCACAAAACCTCAAGATCTATCATGAGCTGCAACATTGATGCTTTTGTTAGCTCTTTGTTGCTGGTCGGTTCTGGTGGAGGTAGTACAACTCGCATTGTTGTTCCATTTGCATTTTTCGCCTTCTGGCTCTTTTGGTTTCCCAGCTTTACAGAATCATTCAAAGGAAGAGCAGACTTTGTAGACTGCAATGGTAGAGACAAAGAGGATTTGAGCCAGAGAAAATCGACAGCAATGGTATATAATGGAATTAAAATAGCAAATCTGAAAACATCCCATGCACAAGGGATACATGAAGAAACAAGATGTACACTAATTACTTTGTACGAGGTGATGAAGTGCTTATTATTGGGCAAACTCTGTGGTCGTTTATCTGGCCCCTGTGATGAAATTCTCAGGTTCAGTGTATAAAACATTCGGACAGGGATGATATAAATTCTCAGCCAAAAAAAAGAGTGAAGTGATGATATAATTAGCATACATGAATCAAGTTCTTCCCCCCTTGAAAATTGTACATCCCGACAGGGAAGAAGGTACCCATCTGTCTGCTAACAGTTTGATATGTTCTGGCAGGACTGAAATCTGGCATTGACATATAATAAGGAGGAGCATAGTAGAGGAACTCTTGGAGTGTAGGCATGATAATTTCTTGGTAAGGAGGGGAAAATGACTGTGGTTTTCGTGGGGCATAGGATGCCCTGGTGCGTTCTTCCTTCGGCCAAGCTAATGCCACATGCAGACACATTCCATCACAAGTTGTTCCTGAATAAAATAAAAATAGAAACTCAAATAATTAGGCATTCTCAGTAGACAAAACACGTTATAATAACATTAGCCTTACCATCAAGGTTATCCATAGCCCTTTTTGCATCTCCGGGATTTAAAAAGCTCACAAAGCCAAATCCCTTACTGACACCATCATCATGACGCATGATCTTAACAGAAAGTAACTTTCCATAAGCAGTGAATAGTGCTCTTAATTTTCTGTCGTCAATTGATTGACTTAGATTCTTCACATGCAAAGTGGAAGCCTCGGGCTTGTTGTCATCAAGGCTGATTGTATGATCATATGCACATCTTGAGATATCATCTCTACTGTCTTTCTTCTGCGCCCTTACAACAAACAGTTGCTTTGATCCTGAGATATACAAGAAATTGAATTGGATAATGAATGGGTTGATAAGTTACCTGCAACATCAAATCGGAAAATTCAAGGCACAAACAATGTGTGAGTGTGTACCAAGTAATGTGCCATTCATACACTGAACAGCCCTGTTAGCGTCTTCATGCGAGTGAAAATTGACAAAGCCAAAACCTCTTGACTTTCCATTTTCGTCTCTAACAATGATAGCGTTTTGGACCTTCCCATGTTTTGAAAATTTCTCCCTTAAGAGATCTTCAGACAGGTCATCATCCAAGTTCTTCACATACAGATTCGTGAATTTGAAGTCTTCACATGGAACCTTCCTCTCTTGCTTGTTGATAAATTTTGAGACATATCTAGGAAATGAAACAAAAAATAGTACTCCGCTGTTAAGCTGACTACTCAACAAAGACAAAATACAAAATGTATCCCGTTCATACATTCTAATCTACCAGTACATCCAGTTTATACAATCCATCCACGTCTAAGCAAAATTGCAAGGAAATGAGTATCTCTACTGATTTACAATTATAAACTGTATACAGAGCATGAACAATCCTAAAGAACCGACATAATGTAGAAAGAATACAAGTTTTGATAGGAAATGTGAGATCAATAATAGACATTGCAAAAGAGTAGGCAAAATCTAGCAGGAAACTTACAGTTTCTTTCCTTCCAACATTGTTCCATTGAGACAACGAATAGCAAACATGGCTGAATGCTCAGAATCAAACTGAACAAATCCAAAACATTTGGATTTTCCATCTTCAACAACAACTTTGCAAGAGATAATCGTCCCATAGTTGCTAAACATCCTCTCCAGTTGAGCACTGGTTACTGAAGGTGCAAGATTCTTGACGAAAAGGTTGCCAACCCCAGATTTTCTTACCAATGGATCCCTCTGACACCACATGATCCTCATAGGCTTACCCCTCAGGTTAGTGTGGTTCAGGCACGTCATAGCCTTCAAAGCTGTTTGCAACCAAAAAGTTAATTTCAAACAGGCAAATCATGGAGAACGGCTGAACATTCACAGTGTAGAATGTTCAAATTAAGAATCCAACTGTCATGTAAGGTTCACTGGATAAAGAGGTGACTAGAAACGATCCTAGAACCAGAAAGAGATTGTAGATTTCATTATTCAAGGTGAACATACCAGAAGAAACACTAGGGTTTCCTTGAAACATAAAAAATCTCAATCAGACTGGCACACTAAATAAAACCTCCTTGGAAACGAGAAACCAAATCTCAATAAATTCAACTACAACCACGAAAAAATCCAAGAGCAATTCGAGATAAGGTCAGATTCTGTGGTCAAATAAGACGTCCAAGAATGGATATCGGGGCATGAAAACAGAAGAAATTGGATGAAAAATGTGGCATAGAGTCAAGGACAAACTACAGATAACAACTACATTTTCACGAAATAGGAATCGGAATTCAAGTGCAACGAATTCTGGAATAGATCATTACCATCAGAAAAGCAGAGGAAGTTGACATAAGCGTAGCAGAGAGATCTCTTCGTCACAGTATCTCTACAGAGGCGGACCGAATCCAATGTCCCCATCCTAGAAAACGACTCCAACAGGTCCCTCTCGGTGGTCTCAGGGTGGAGATCACCGACGTAGAGTGACGGTCTTCTAAGAAAATCTGCCGCCGCTGACTGTGGAAGTGGTGGCGCCGCCGCCGGCTGTGGAAGTGGTGGAGCCGCTGCCATTTGATTCTCAATTCAAGTGTAAGGAGAATTGAACCCCTACCAAGACTCACGAGTGAGTTAGAGAGACGAGATGGCAGGGTAGAAGAAGAAAAGAAGAGAGAGCGCATGAGAGAATTTGTTAGTGCAGTACTCGCAGAGGCGGTTATAACTGTTCGAGACCGAAGACTCCATGACCGTAGGGATCTAAGTAGGGGCTCGTGTCTCTACCTGACACGTGTAACGTGATTTCCTCCTGCGTTTGTTACGGTATAAAAGCGACGACGTATTTCGTTTTTTCATTCGAGATTCATACGACGCCATTTTTAGCATGGATGGCCAAATAGTTTGCGTGTCCGCGGTAGGGAGGGCAATTCTATCCTAATCTCACTTTTACCGACTTGACCGGAGGTTATTATATCCGAATTCGAACCGAAAAATTAAATATCCAAAACTGACCCGAAAAAAATTAAACCGAACCCGACTTTTGTCGGGTTGGGTTTGAGTTAGTATATTTGACCGACCCGACCTGTACCCGAACCGACCCGACATGTACCGACTTTCAATAAGTTTTAAATAACTCTAAATTCCTATATTTCATGTATTTTTATGCACATATTTTTAATATTTTAAAACTTATTGCATTTTTTATGTTTCATTTTTTATTGTGGTTTAATATTGTGTGTCCCACATGTGCTATTTTCATTGTACTACATATATTATTAATTGAAACTTAATATTGTTTGTTCCACACGCGCGGGAAGATGAAGCGGTTGCGGATTTCTAGTCTGACGTCGCCCCAACGAGATCGGAAAACTTCCGTTTGACATCTTTAAGGGTTATTCGGTCATAATTATTTTTGATAATATCTTAAATTTTTTATCATCTTTAAAATTTTTAATTTCTAATGCATTTCAGTCTTAAATTTTTCATGAATAGTTTAAATAGTATTCAAACCCGAAATTGACCGTAACCGACCCGACCGAATCTTAAACCGAATCCGAACCGAAAAAATTAATATCCGAAACCGACCCGCCAAAATCAAACCCGAACCCGACCGAATTTAGGTTGGGTTTTAATATACTCAAACCCGACCGAACCCGACCCGTTGCCATCCCTAGTCCGCTGTAGTTTGAAGAAATGGACACTAATATCTTTTCTCTATTTAAAATTTATTTTTAAAGTCTCCGTGATTTAAAAACATTGTAACCACATTACCTCTGATTTAAAATTGGCTCATTTTCTTATTTTTCGTTTATTATTTATGTCTTTTCTTTTTTTTTAAATATTTTCTCTCTCTTTTTTTTGCACATTAAAACACACTTATTCCACACCAAAATTGAGTCATACAAAACTACCAATTACATCATCCTTCTATACATAGAGTAGTTTCCAATGTAAAAACATATGTAGTTGACTGTTTTCTCAACAGTACAATCCTTTCGGGGAAGAATTCTATTCCTCATCCTCCATATTCCATATACACTTGCAGCCCATATTGCTATTATTCTCATCCTTCTCATCTTGCTGATATTGTCCTTCAGCAACTCTTCCAAATTCGAGAAACTGCCAACCTTGAATTCCATATTGAAACTGCTGCTGCTTTCTCTTATAACCTGCTGTGCTTTAGGGTATTCCCAAAATAGGTGAGTGTCATTCTCTTCACTTTGTCCACACAATATACAGCTCGTGTCCACGTTTATGTATCTTGATATTCTAGCTTTTGTTTGCAGTCTTCCTCTCATCATAAGCCACACCACAAAATTGAATTTTGGTGGGGTCATTTTGTTCCAAACATAATTTCTCCAGCCTACTGTTCTCCCTTCCCCCAGCAGTGGTACCCTTTCATGATATTAAACTTTTCTCCCTTGGGCATATCTCTAAAATGTTCCCTCACTTTCACCATTGCCCTCCAATAATAGCACGAATCTAGTTTTGGGATGTATTCCCAAAAGTCTCCTCCTTTGATGTATCTACTGTGTATCCACTTCACCCACAGGATATCCTTCTTCTCAACAATATCCCAGTTTAGTTTCATTATAGAAGCCTTATTCCAATTGATAATATTCTTAATCCCAAGGCCTCCATACTTCTTCGACTGACATACCCCATCCCATCTCACAAGAGGTACCTTCTTATATTTATCAGAACTCCTCCACAAAAGGTTTCTGCATATGGCCATCAGTTTCTCCAAAATCTGTTTGGGTAGAATGAACATTCTTGACCAAAAGGACACAATACCCATCAAAACAGAGTTAATAATTCTCACTCTAGCAATGTAAGAGAAATGCTTAGTGCCCCAAGCTGTTATCTTACTGGTGAGCTTATCAATGAGTGTAACACAATTACACTGTTTCATCCTGGCAGTAGTTATGGGGCTCCCCAAATAAGTGAGGGGAAATTTACCCATTTTCATACAGTAACTCTTCTTTCAGTTTCTGCTTAGTCCCTCCAAACACTATTTGTGATTTATTTTTATTGATTCTCAGACCTGTTGCACCTTTAAACTCTTCTAACACTTTCATGATGCAGGCCAGTGAGTTATGGTCAATCTTACTGACCACTATTAAAACATCTGCAAAACATAAGTTAATGATTTTCAATTAGCTGCACATTGGATGGAACCTAAACCCAACTTTCTGATTTGCTGCTACTTGGAAGCTCCTGGTCAAATATTCCATCACTAGCACAAATAACAGGGGAGAGATTGGATCTCCTTGCCTCAGGCCCTTAGCTGCCTTGATATACCCATAATATCCCCCATTAATTATATGCTGGAGTTGTTACACAGAACATAATCATTCAATGAATTGTTCAAGGAACTTAAGATAGTAGAGAATTTCCTTGAGTGCTCCCCAACTTATTGAGTCGTAAGCCTTTTGGATATCTAGCTTCATCATACACCTCGGGGTACAATTCTTCCTGTTATAGCCTTTTGCTATCTCTTGGCACATTAATACATTATGTATTAGCTCTCTGCCTTGGACAAAAGCTCCTTGGTTAAGATCCACTATGTGATGCAATACTTCCTTTAGACGTAGACAGATCAACTTTGAGATGATTTTATAGATTATGTTGCAGCAAGCAATTGGCCTGTACTCAGTTATGTTCTTAGGATCAGAAACCTTGGGGAGTACTGATAATAGTGTGGCATTTATCTGAACCAGTGTCTTACCTTCCTTGAAAAAATCTAATACAGCTCTAGTTGTTAATTCTCCCACTACAGACCATTGCCCTTTGAATTTTCTATCTCTTTTTCCTTTTCTTAAAATTTGTTTTTAAATATATTTTATTTTTTTATAATGTTTTGAAAATTTTAAAATTCTTTGTGTTTGAAATAAGAAAAAAATTAACATACATTACATCGATCTCAAATAAAATATTTTCAATTTTTGTTACTTAGAATATTTTTTGGAAAGTTCAAAAAATACCCAGAATAAAAAAATAAAATATGGAAAAACGAAATGAAAAAATTAAAATACACAAAAAAGAGTCTTATATAAAAAACAATTTTCGGACACACCTAAAAAGTCCTTAGAATTGAGATGTCCAAAAAGGATATTAATTTTATTTTTGTATTATTTTGTTTCTTATTTTATTCCTCATATTTTTGAAGTTCTCAAACAAAATTTTACATTTTTTCGGAAAAGAAATAGTTGTTAATTTGAGAGGTATAGATGCATTATACGAAGTATGTTAATTTTTTCAAAAAAAAAACTTTAAATTTTAAGGACATTATAAAAATAACTTTAAAAAAACCCTTATTAATAAATGAATCAAATAAAGGAAAAAAAATGAAAAACTAAGCGAGAAATAAAAAATCAGCACTAGTATCTCATATTGTTTAAAAAATATGCACCAATGTCCCCTTATTCGCAGGAAAAATGGTCGGAAAATGATCAAAGGGGCACGGGTACAGAATTTTGAAACCACAAGAATTTTAGAAATAAGTTTTGAAAATAGAGGGTGTTTGATGTCTATTTTGCAAACTACGGGGGTACTAGCGCTATATGGCATTTTAACATCAACAGGTGAATGTGAATGAGTTCAATCTGCCATAATGTTCAAAAGAATGAGAAAATATAAATGTATAGATATTAATGACAATGTTAGAGGTATACTAAAATGGGATAACCCATTTATGCATCAAGCATTTACACAAAGCATTCAAAGACATACACAGACATTGCATGTTTGTGAAGATTTGGTATACAAATGAAATATCTTATTTTGGTGTATCCCTAGATTGACTCAGATTATAATCATAATTGAGTTGCTACTGGTTAAGAGTTTGATTGTACCCATATATTTTTTTTGTAATTGAATATTCTAGAGGCTAATACTCAATAAATTTTGCTAAATTTTTACAAATGGAATACGAACTTTGAACATAATTTTACTTCTACGTACAAACTTCAAATGCTCTCACAAAAATTACACTAACTTACAACTTTCTTTCATTAAAAATCTAATAGTAGGATTCCTGGTCACCTAGGGACAAACTATAATTTTATAAATTTAAATTTGTAATTTTGATCTTATTTCTTTTTTTCTTTCTTTAATTTACTCATCTTGTATTCTTCTTAAAATTCCCTCCCCACACTTAATGCACCCCACCCACCCCAGCACTACCATGTTCTTCTTCTTCTCCTTTTTCTTTCATTTTTTTGTTTTTTTAATTTTTTGTTTAACCCCCCACGTTTGATTTCCCTTTTTTTTATTTCCTTCTTTTTTTTGTTCCAACCCCCACCTAGGACTGGACACGGTTCCAGTACAGAACCGGTGCCAGCGTCGGTACCGTGGTTTCGCCACTGGGAGACCAGTGACAAAGATAGCAGTACAGTTTCCGGTTCTAATTTTTTGTGACCCCAACCGACGATACCAGTACAAGTTCGGTCCAAAATTTGACATTTTTTATTTTGTTGACTTGCTGACACATTTAACCACTGGTGGACCGTAGGGAGCACCTCCAACAGCTCTAAAGCCGTTTGGAGGGGGTGGAGAGTATTTTTTACCTATAAATACTCCCCTATTTTTTTAAATTCACTCATCAATCTCTC